CTTTTGAATTTTTATCACCGCAAACATTTTAACAAAGTAGACACTTTTGTAATCAGAACGATCGACGAAGTTATAATTTATATATTGTAAATAAGAATAATTCCTTATAGCTATGAGGTGACTATTTCATTTAAACCTTGCAGCTAGAAGACCTAGAATAAAATTAGGTCAACTGCAAATCAAATCAACCCGAGTTTCAAAGCGGTACTCATGACTTGATAGAACAGGATGTGGGCAAACAAAATCTAATCAGGTTAAGTGAAGAGCCATTCATTTCTAGGAGAAAAAACCACGCCACGGCGAACTCTATCATATGGGAAAACTGTGCTTCCACCTCCAGGGTTTACTCCTTTGGCAAGGATTGGAAATCGCAAAAATTATGGGTACCTCAAATATCATTTAGTCAAATCTCGTTCATAGTTACGAAAACAGGCCCAGAGGGATGAAGCAATTTTCCTGAGGGGCTACAGCCAGCTAATAGCATAGCTGGCTCCAGAACCCAGGTTACTATTCCAGGCCTGTCTGTTACTCTTGCCACTTCTTGTCAGATCTTCCTCAGTCTTCATTCTGATGACGTTTTAGGAAACGAGTCTTATGAGTATCAGATATCCCTATGTTTAAATTCTAGAACAAAAATGCATAACGAAATAATAATGTGTATCCTTCCATTAGCACAGATGATTAAAAGTTGACTGTCTTTGGACAAAAAAACATTACTGGTGTGAGAATAGAACATTTCCTTGAAAAGTACTACGTAAATTTCTGTGAATCTATTTTATTGTTAAGAACTGTTTTATCCAATTTGTGATTATCTTCAATTGGCAGTGCGTCTCTCTCTCAATCCTTTACCTTCGGTTTCTCTATATCAAGTAGCTGATGATCTACATACATGCAAACACTCAAAACCACCACGGGAAGTTCCTGTGGAAGCCCGGTGTGATTTAAAGAATTCTTTTGTAGTGTTATTACCCAACTTTGTTTGGTAAGGAATGAGTTTTTTTTTCTTTAGGATGAGTTTTATGTTCTCAAAAGCATAGACAGATGATAGGAGAAGGAAAATAAAATTAAAACACAGAAAAAACTTTTTGTACAAACAAGGCATAAAAAAGATAAGAAGAATGAGAGCTGGTAGGTAGGTGGTCTAGAAGGGCGTGGCAGAGAACCATAAACGAACTTAGTCGCAAAGTGTTTAAATTTTAAAAGTAAACTTGACTAGTTCGATGTAGAAATGAACTAACAACTATCTAACCTTCGGGCTATAATTAGAGTCCAGTTTTAGGCTCTGTGACTTAGGAACACGTGAGAACCCTGGAGAGTTCAGAAAAATTAGAACTATTATTGTGTCTGGAAAGACCAGGAGTGAGTCAACAGTCCTCAAGGATATGAAGAAATATCCATTTCATTGGGCAGCTGGTCTGCGTTTCCACGGCAGAAAGCAATTTTACTTAATTACAGCATATATTTCAAGACAGAAGCATTTTACCTAGGAGATCTCATCTAACAGAACCTCCAGAGAAGCCTGTGCTGCCCTTTACTCGCTCAAGCCCTTATGTCTAAGAATGGGTCAAAGGGTAGATGAGGCATTTTTGGAATGTGAAGGTTTAGACTTCTTTTGGGTCTACTAATTCAAAACTTTTTGTTAACCTTTGTCCCCCAGGTCCCAGTGTAAGGATGAGTGCGTCCGTGCTTAGGGTAAAGGGAATTAGCCGTAAACACCTAGATGCACGCATAAACTGGAGTTCCTTATAAGTCTGCTTGTCATCGATGTTGACTCCAAAGAAAGGGAATTTACCGGAGCTGATATTAAAAAAAAAAAAAAAAACAAAAAAAACAGACCGGACAATTAACTAGATGCGCCCGGACCTTTTATTCTGTCTCTAGCATTTTCTCATCTTGCAGAGACTTATCTTGAACTAAAGAATAAGCAGTGAGGTCTATGAAGACAGAATGTAAGCACGTTTTATCCGTACCACGTCCACCCCACCCCATCCCCAGCTTTGCTTTTAGCATAACGCTGGACACACAAAAGGCTATTAATTAGCACTTTTTAAATCAATGGCATCTATCATTATTATTATATAGCTGCTTTTTCTAGTTATTCTCTAACGCTGTTGCCTAGGAAGGTTGCATTTCTCAGTACTGTCTCATAGAAACATCTGTTTTCCAATCCCCTTACACGTGTTAGTCATCTATTCCTGAACTACCAAAACCTCTTAACTTCCTCAGTTCTGCCCCCTCTTCTACTTAAGCCAAGTATCGTTGTTAAATCACCTTCATTCACAACGGTTTGACCATGGCACTTCCTAGACCTTTCCGCGCTCAGCCACGTGATTAAAACCAGCTTTGACTTCCCGAAGGACAAGACTCCTACCTCCTCTCACTCCGAGCCTTTTTCCAAAGGCCGCTTTGTGCGGGAAGCCACTTCAGAGCACGCTGGTCAGATAAAACTCTCCACCCAGAACGTCTCAGAGCTCACTCACCTTTCCGCTTGCATCAGATCTATTTGAAAGAAAAAGTCTCAGTGGAGGTCAAAGGCCTCTAGAACAAATAGTGTCGGTAGGCGGTGTGTGGGCGTCTTGGGGGATGGGCAAGCGCACACGTGTTTACGTGACATACGGCACAGGAACATACGTACGCACACACGCACACACACTGTAAGTTCTGCCCAAATTAGCGCGAACCCACACGCTCAGAAACCAAATCTGCTCACTGCGCCACGAGCCACAGGCCCTGCGCCCTATGGCTACTCCCTACGGGCAGCGCATCGCCTCTGTGACAAAGTCCATCGCGACTTGCAAGGAGAGGTAAGTGTCACTACGGGCAGCTAGGATTCTGCTCTGTTTAAAAATTCAAATGCAAAACCGTCAGCACATCAGTACATTAACCACGCCATGATCCCAGCACGACGCGCAGAACATCGTAGATGCGAAAAACTACAGGACACGGATGCTCGCTTCACAGTGGTTTAATGTGGACAGAGGCGACTATGACATTGTCTGCCAGGAGAATGGACAACTTGCTGAATAAAAGCCCCGAGTCAGGATATATACACAGCAGAAATGGGGCCTCAGGCTCTCAGCGCTTGTGCACAATGAAAGAAGGAGTCTTTAAAAAAATCCATAAGAGGATACAACTCAAAAAGGGCAGCGACAACACCGCGCCCGGGGAGGCGGGACGGGCGGCACGGCCTCTCTCTAGGGGCTGCTTGGCCCCTGGCACCGGCTGGGCAGCCACAGGGCTCGTCTGTCTCAAGGAACCTGAATATCGGGATGGGCTCCAAATCCCAGGTCTCTGCCACCAGAATCTCGCCTCCCCATAATCAGAAACCCTGCTCCCCTAGACCCTGTGTAGAGAACTGCCATCCCTCCCCAAGACGGGGTCTCGGCAGAGCCCCCCGCTTCTGCCCCAACGGCGGAGATAACTTGCTCCCGTCCCACCACTTGGGATAGATATCGGGCACCAGCGAACAAGCCGCCGGCTCCCGGCCAGGAGCCCAGGAAAGCTGCCGGCCTCAAGAAGCTGCCTCAGACTGGAAGATCTGGGAAATCCATACCCAGCTGGATCCCCAGCTCAGCTTCTGGGACGGTGCTAGAGTCCCGTGGGAAACAAGTGTGGCAGTCCAATAGCACTGTGACCAAGCCGGGGAGGGCAGTGACAACTGCTCAAAGTACTTGGGAGCCAGGAGTCTGGGGTTTGTTCGTGCGCTTCTGCCCTGCGGCAGCACTAGATGAGGGGGAGGGGCCTTCCCTGCCCCCAGAGGGGCCTAGAAAATGACCCAGTCTCGTCTTCAAGGGGTAACCTGGCAGAGGGGAGTGGCCCCCAGCCCTCAAGCCACCGAATCTGCAAAGCTAGCCCATGAGGAAGCGAAGGCTTAGGGACGGACAACTGCTGGCCCACACGGACTCGCCTGCTGGTGAGCAGGGACAGCCGGCCAGAGCGGGGGCCACAGAGGAGAGGGGCTAGGCGACAGGTGGCTCCCTCCTGCCCTATGGCTTTCGTCGGACTCCGAAGCAGCCGTGAGGTCGGGCCCACAAAGCCCGCGCGCCTTGCCCCACACGCTGGCGGCTTAGAGCCTGGGAGGGCCGCCAGGGAAAGCATCACGGGAGAGAGGGAGCACCAAAGGAAACTGTCGGGAGGACTGCGAGCGGGCCTGGAGCAAACGAGGCGAGCTTTCGGGTCTCCACCACCCTCCCAGAAAGGAAAAGGGTCATGCAGGTAGGAAAGGCAGGTCTCTCCCTGCTCAGTGTTCCTGGTTAAACCTAAGAGTAAGAAAGATCCCCTGGACGTGCAGCATCCTGCCCACGTGCCTCCAGCACGAGACCCGTCCCGGGGTGGCCTTCCTGGCAATGGGAAGACGCCCCCGCCGCGGCCAGCACAACCCCCTTCCCCCCACCCCAAGCAAAGGGCATCGCCCGCGGGTTCCCGCCGCTCCGCGGAGAACGGAACCCTGGCGGAGTGCCCGCGCTGTAGTGAGGTGCCAAGGAACACGATGCCAGACAGTCTATCAGGCCAGGGGATGGGCAGCCAAGTTCAGATCAAAGAGAGAGAGAGGCTTAGTGTAAAAACCAATG